ATATTCCAATTTTATCTGGACCCTTAGTCTGTTTATAACTTTCTGAGATCAAAATCTTATTTAGCTTTTTGCTGTCTATTTCAGATTCTTTAAATTCTTAAGCTTATAATTAAAGTTTTCTTTTGTTCAAGATTAAAGGCAAACTGACCCGGTGTTTTCAAACTTGTCATTCCAAAGGTCCCTAATGGCTTAGAAGTAGTTAATGAGCAATTTCTGAAAATGATTAGAAAGTGAGGTTTGCAAACTTAGCATCCTTTAAAGTCACTGCCACGGTTGCAAGCAAGATAGCTTATCCCGTTGTTTCCCGGTGCTCAAAGCCATGGAAAATCATTGTCCTGCAGTCTCCTCACTGGGAGCGGCCATCTGGAGCACTTATGGGTAATCTGCTGTCCCTACCTGGAGAGGTTCCAAGGGACTGGTCTACTCACCCGTTCTTTGGTCTTTTCTGTGGTTGTCAACTCCACTTTCACAGAGCCATCTTCAATTTGCCATACCTCCTCCGGAAGCCTCAACATTTGGGGTTTTTTGAGGAGTTGTTTGTTTTTCGTGAGCATTATATAAAATATTTTCAATGTTTAAGTTTTCTACCATAGTGGCAAGGAAAACTGAGAACAAACAAAACATGCCTATATATATACTTGTTTTACTAAATCTATATTGCAGACTGTCATTTTTGAAAAAGTAGCATGTCTTGACAAAAAAATAGGAGTAGCAGCTACTTGTTAAGTCAGAAAGAACTGCTTTGCTTCCAGGAGACAATGTCAATAACTGCCAGATATTCTGAAGTATTCATTTAGAAAAGATTTTGAAATAATGTGAGATTCAAATTGGAAAATATTTTTGAAATTTAGATATAGTAGATTTTATAGTAGATTTGGATACAGTATGTCAGCATATAAACTTTGGTGATCTGTACTTAATTTTCCAATTAAGAGCCAATTTCACTTAGAATTTAAAGCAAATTTCCCAGCAAAGTGCTTTCCAGATGTGGTTGTGTATTTCCATATTTCCTGTCCAGTCAGTTCAGCGTATAGGGGGAACTCCAAACTGGGGAAAACTAGGTTAAGCTCCAGTTCCATATAATCTCTAAATCAGTTTCTCAACTGGTCATACATAGAGGGAGTGATTTTCATCACAACTGTTCCGTTTTGTTTCGTTTTTTAAAGCCGATATTACCTTGAAACTTGAAGAAATGTGAATTCCATTCCGGCATTCACTGGAAGGTTGGGGTTCAAACTGGGTAGAGAGCAGTGCCATTTTCACAGCCCTGCTCTGCCTCTATCCAGCCTTAAAGAGTCTTTTCTACCCAAAGCTTGAGCATCTCTGGCTATGCAGCAGCAGCAACATTTGCAACAAGGCATCTTCACAGCAAGTTCATTTATTAGAATTATTATACCAATATATAAAAAGAGCCTCACCTCTGAGGAATGCTATGCTACATTTTCCACTATTCCCAAGCACCAAAAAGGTAGGTGGACCTTGAAATCAAAATTTGAAGTTCTTCCCGAACATACATACATACATATATTACAATACATACATATATTACAATAATTTTGCAATTATTGTAAAACAATGGAACCACAACTTTA